CGTGTAAAACCCACACGCTTGCGGGCAAGTGCTTGCACCTATTTGGACCCCCTCTTTTACTTTCACCTCTGAAACTCTGCGCTTGAGAATGAATTCACACAGATGCTTGTGTTCGCTTCCACTGGTCCTGCGTTGACAATCTACAGCAGGCACCAAACTACAGTTCCGTTCCCATGTTGCCGTGAGCCACCATTCACAATAATTGTCGAAGGAGTAGCTGCAAGTATTGGCTGTCCGCTTCCAAGTCATCATGTCCTTGTGTCACTTGGGACACATGTCATTGGTGGCTGCAGCTGCCAAAAAAAAAAAAAAAAAAAAAAAAAAAAAAAAAAAAAAAAAAAAAGAAGAGAATAGCCACAGTTGTTGAATGGCAAAGATGGCGTCCTTCTGGAGCTTGGCATCCTTCTGCGATCGGAAGACTCCATTATTCAAATGTCCTGTTTCTCAAAACGAGAGTTTATTGGCCGATCTTGACTCGCAAAAATCGAAACCAGGTTGTTCACTAATCGAGGTTTAATAGTGCAATGATCGGTGAGAAATCGAGGGTATATAGTCACAGACGCACGGGCAGCAACCTCTTCATCATTGAACACACACACAGGTGAGCAGCACACACAGAGTTACAGAGACACGAGCCCACTCAACTTCTTTTTTCTTTTTTTTTTATTATTTTACTCTCATCTTGCAGCACAGTTTATCGAGAGAGAGAGCCCACTTCTCTCTCTCTCACTCAAGGACACCACTAGCTTCAACCACTACTTTGTCACTTTTCCAACCTATCTTCTGTTACCTTTTGCACTCTCCTGACCGATTTCTCTCATCCCAAACGCTTTCTACCTTAATATATTATTATTCTTATTCTTTTATTCTTATTATATTTCTTATTAAAAAAAAAAAAAAAATAAAAAAACAAAAAAAAACAAAATAACTAAAAAATAAAAAACCACACATATACGAACACATTTATTCTTCTTATTTCTTCTTTATTTTCCTTCACATTATTTTTCATCTTTTTCAAATTTCATTCATACCATATAGCTGCACACCAACCATCTTTATAATCCTGCTCAGGGATCACCGGCCGATGCAGTAATTTTACACAAAAAAAAAAAAAAAAAAAAAAATCACAACAACAACAGCTTTGTTTTCTTTTCTGCAGACGGCCACCCACCGACCTACTCTGCCGCCGGTCTCTTCTTTTTGCCTCCGTCCTGGACGGCCCTTGACGGTGCTGCCTCCGTGTTTTCCACCCGCCGAGCACGTTCACTCCCTCATACTCCTCCACTGCAGCATATGGCGGCCCTCCAAATCGAAACATCACGGTGGCCTTCCGCTTCAGCTCCTTGTTTTCTGCCTTTAGCACACTTATCTCTGCTCGCGCATCCTTATACATGCGTTGGAGCAGAGCCAGCTGGGAGTTTAACTGCTGCACCTCATTTGTCCTGCTCTGCAGCCGGTGCGACAATTTGTAACCGCAGTCATGGTTTCCACACATGACTTCAGAGTATACTGATTGGCCTCAATATCAGTTTGCACCGCCATTTTTTGCTCCACCGACCGCATCGGAAAGTTCAACGAGAGCAAAACCAGAGGTGTTTTGGTTGAGGTTCACTGGCCACCGCACCAGTTATTTCTCTTGTGGACTCGTTCAGTTCTGGAAAGAGCGTGAGCAGACCACGGGAAGAGGAGGCCATGTTCTGGGTAGCTGGACGGGAAGAAGAGGCCATGTTTTGGGTTGCTAAGTGTTTTCAGCGAAGTAGCGATTTCAGACGGATAATGTCCGAAAGGGTTGTTACAGAGTGTTGCAGATGTTACAGATGGTTTCTAGGCTACAAAGTGTTCCAAAGTTTCTCTCTCCGAAGAGGCAGAGTTTTTTTCAGAGAAGGGTTGGTTTCAGAGGTTTCAGACTGGTATGCACAGCCTCCGCCTCAACCTTGGTTTAAATAGCCAGGGCCGATCCGCCGCATCGCGCGCCACTTGCCGACAGACGACAAAAACGGGCGCGCAAGCCAAGGCGCTCACGTGCCTCGCCATCATGTCCGGCACATCTTTTTTATGACTGGCACGCCTTTTGATGGCACGCCTTTTGATAGATTGGGGCACACCTTTTGAGGGTGCGACTTTTTTAGGGTCCGGACAAGACTCTGTAACTGTCCCGACATTGATTCCGGTTAGCTCCTTTATGGGTCCGACAAGACTCTGTAAACTGTCCTGACATTGATCCCGGTTAGCTCCTTTATGGGTCCGACAAGACTCTGTAAACTGTCCCGACATTGATTCCGGTTAGTTTCTACAAGGGTCCAGCAAGACTCCGTAAACTGTCACAACATTGTCTGCTACAACGGTCCGACATGACCCATAAACTGTCTTCTACAACGTTATGACACCACCATCCAGTGTCTTCACCAATGGTCTGACACGACCATACAGTGTCTCCTATCCTTTTTTATTTTTATGTATTTTCTTGTTTTGTTCCTCTCTTCAAACTCAAGTTGGTTAGTTTCTATCCTCCTTGAGTTTGCGGGGGCTGTTAGAATTTACCATAAACCTACCACCACTACCACCTCACCTACTCCACTAAACCTAACCCACTACACCACTACCACCTCCACTTCACCTACTCTCCACCTACTCCCAAACACACTCCTATATAATAGGAATCCTTGTAATTGTAATATGTACAACAACATCAATCAATCAATAATATACATCAATTTATTTTTACATTTATTTACAAATTAAATCTTAGGGTTTTTTTGTTGTTGATATTTTATTACGTTTTAAGTTCTAGAAATGTTATCTTCTAACTGTCAATGGTGAGCTCAATAAAACGTCATGGACTTCTGAAATATTATGTGTTAGAATTTACCATAACCCACTTCACCTACCACCTCCACTACCACCCACTTCACCTACCACCTCCACTATCACACACTCCACACCTACCATCTTCTCCTCTATATATAGGAATTGTAATATACAGAAATCAACACAACATCAAGTAAATAATCAATCAATCTTGTAATATAACAATCAATAATACATATATTTTTACATTATGTCTTTCATTTGGTTTCCTAAACAGAAAAGGTTTCAAGTTGTTTTCTAGGAAACGGACTTTCATAGCTGGAGCAAGATGTATTGTTGATTTTCTTTTTCACTCAACATGACAGCAACCAATTGTTATCATCTGCTTTCAGGCAATTATGCCCTCAAAATAGATGTTTCTGTGATATCAGGCCAGAATGAGTCGCTCTGTACTTTCATGCAATGTGTTTTGTTGTATACGACTATTGCTAATTATTATTCTGAAATTCAAGTTCAAGTTCAAAATTAACCATTCGTCTAAAGCCTCCCAATAAATTGATAGTTCTTTGTGTGATTGTTTTTCTTCCATTATATTTCACTCTAACATACCAGATGTTTTATCAGGCTGAATGTTATCACTATCTCTTTGATGCTGCCATCAAGCTTCACCAATTGGGCTTGGACTGGTCTACTCCATGCCACGGTTCTGTTCGCAATGTCAACGGAACTTGTAGTTGTGGTGTTAATATGATCAGGGGTTTGAAGGCAGGGACTCTTGGTATAGATTACACGATTGAGCCTTTGCAAGTAAATTCTTGTTGTCTTCTCCCTCATAGAAGAACTTTAAGTGTTTAACAGGTGCCATCGATTTGGGTGTAGGTTGTTGAGTGGTGCATGGACTTAAAATTCACATTGGAATTTGTTTTCTTTTTCTCTCTTTGATTAAAGTCCCAATCTTTTTTAATCTTATGCTATCTGTGGTGCAGCGATGTATTCTTCTTGACATAGAAGGAACAACAACTCCTATTTCTTTTGTTACTGGTGTTCTTTTCCCCTATGTCAACAATAACTTGGTTAAGCATTTAGCAGCATCATATGACTGTGATGAAACTCAACATGATATTAGTTTGCTGCGTTCTCAGGTTAGATTCTGCTTGTTTATGTTGCCTCATTTGGTAATGACCTTTTTCACAAGCTATTGGTTTCACCTCTACTATTGTAGACACAAATTTTGAAACAATGAAGTGTTTCAACACATTTCAAAATTTTATGTTACAAATTGTCCACTGTTTAGTTTTTGGACTAAACAGTGTTGATTATTTGAATAGCAGGTTTTTATTTCCGATCTATATTTCATATCGTTAATTACACATTTTGTATAAATGAAACCTTCGATTAATGAAGAACAAAAATAAATAACAGAAGACAATTTAAGAAAAATAAATATTTTATTGAAATTGTTATGGGTTTTGAACCCTTGAATACAAAGTATAATTCTTGGGTTTGGAACCCTTTAACTATTCATCGCCATTCTGCATTTGTAGCGTAGGCTCTTGAGTTCTCTGGATTTCTTTTCTTTCTTGTAACGACTTCTTTAGCTCTTGATTTCTTTCTCTCTCTCTTTGATCTCCTCACTTCTGATTTTTTCTGATTCTTGATTTTTCGGTCCCCTCTTGTGTGATGGTCCTCATATTTATAGAGGGCCATCCAAGTGATAAGAGTGCCTCATCCTCAATTTGAAAGCGCCATTTGAATTTTGAATGATAGTGCTTTATGATTAATTGTATATCTGATTAACCGGATTGATCTTTTGAATTTCATCCTGTGTGGTGTCCTTGTTGTAGGCTCTATAGGTGTCATATTTCGTAGGCTCCACCTGCCATTTGAGTATTTTGAATAATGTCTTGAGATACGATGTCGTTTTATTTATGCACTTCAATGAATCATATTGATTTTTTTAGGAAGTGATTACCTACAACATTCCTATCGTAGGCTCTATATGTGTCATTGACTGATTGACCGTATTTGAAATTTTAACATAAATTTGGTTGAAATTTATGTGCCAACAAATGCCCCCCGTGATTTGTACAAATGAATTTTTTAACTATGCAAATCATGACAACTTGGTGTTTTTATTTAGGCCTTCTTTGGATCATAGATTTGATTATTTCTTGGCCTTCATCACTTTCGGCCCCTTTGACTTTGTATGCCTTTTTATTTTATTTTATGTCATACATGAACCCCCTCCCACAAAAAAAAAAAATAAATTTTAATTAATCGTTTTTTTTTATACATTTAATTTTATGGGTTAATTGCTCTTTATAGTCCATGGGTTTTTTATTTTTGTTGCATGGGCCCTTTTTTCATGGACTTAATTTTTTTTATGGGTTAATTGCTCTTTATAATCCATGGACCTTATTATTATTTTTTTTGTTGTTACATGGACCCTTTTTGTGGACTTGATCCCCCGCCCCCCTCTTTTTTTTTTTTTAAGGTCATGGGTAAGATCTAGGAATTTAATCGGGCCTTTTCCTTTGGTGGGCCTCTTTCTTCATTCCATGTGGGCTTTTTATCAACTTGCTACCACTTTTTTATTTTATTTTATTTTATTTTTTTTAGGATCAATCTTTTTTACAGCAGATTTTTTTAGGTCATTATGGATATTAGGATTTCAAATCCTACATGAATTCTTGCTCTTTGGAGTGTTTCCAATCGTACATAAACTCTTGCGTTTTGGAGTGTTTCCAATCCTATATAAACTCTTGCTCTTTGGAGTGTTTCCAATCCTATACAAACTCTTGCTCTTTGGAGTGTTTAAGGAGATAACTACCTCTTTTCTTAATAAATACTTTATCTTTATATAACATCTATTCATATATTTTTTTTCCTGGAGCCCCTTTTTTCTCCTGCAGATTTTGTAGTGCATATTAGGTCTTCATCCTTCTAGCATCTTTCCAGCAGAATTTGTTCTTGGAGGACACCAAAGATTCCCTTCTAATCTGTAAAAATTCAATGTATAAAAAAAGAAATAGAGACTTGTATTATTGATTGATTGTATTGATTGATGTATTACAAGATTGATTAATTACAATTCCTATACAATCTTATATAGAAGAAAATGTGGTAGTAGGTGTAGTGGAGGTGATAGTGGTTAGGTTTTAGTGGAGTAGTGAGGTGGTAGTGGTGGTAGGTGATGGTAAATTCTAACAGCCCCCGCAAACTCAGGAGGATAGAAACTAACCAACTTGAGTTTGAAGAGAGTAACAAAACAAGAAAATACATAAAAATAAAAAGGATAGGAGACACTGTATGGTCGTGTCAGACCGTTGGTGAAGACACTGTATGGGGTGTCATAACGTTGTAGAGGACACTGTATGGTGGTGTCAGACCGATGTAGAAGACAGTTTATGGGGTCATGTCGGACCGTTGTAGAAGACAGTTTATGGGGTCATGTCGGACCGTTGTAGAAGACAGTTTATGGGGTCATGTCGGACGCGTTGTAGAAGACAATGTTGTGACAGTTTACGGAGTCTTGCTGGACCCTTGTAGAAAACTAACCGGAATCAATGTCGGACAGTTTACAGAGTCTGTCGGACCCATGAAGGAGCTAACCGGAATCAATGTCGGGACAGTTTACAGAGTCTTGTCGGACCCTTGTAGAAACTAACCGGAATCAATGGCGGGACAGTTTACAGAGTCTTGTCGGACCTTGTAAAAACTAACCGGAATTATTCGGGACAGTTTACAGAGTCTTGTCGACCCATAAAGGAGCTAACCGGAATCAATGTCGGGACAGTTTACAGAGTCTTGTCGGACCTTTAAAAAATCGCATCCTCAAAAGGTGCGCATCAATTTTTTTAAAAAGGCGTCCATCAAAAGGCGTGCCCAATTTATCAAAAAGTGCGCCGGACATGATGGCGAGGCACGTGAGTGTCTTGGTTGGCGTGCCCGTTTGTCGTTTGGAGTCAAGTGGCGCGCGATACGCGTGGCTGCCCTGTCGTCATGGTCTTTATAAGGCGGAGGCTAAGGCTGAGGCTGAGGCGGAGACAAAAAAAACTTGCGAGAGATATTCTGAGAGAGATTTCTGAGAGAGATATTCTGTAATACTCTGTTGTCTGAGAGAGATTTCTGAGAGAGATACTCTGTAACACTCTGTGGCCCAGAAAATGGCTTCATCTTCCGGAGTCTACTCACTCTCTTTCCCGACCTCAACGAGTCAACAAGAGAGAGAACTGGTACGGTGGCACTGGAACCTCAACCAAGCGCCCCCGGAGTTTGCTCCGTTGAACTTTCCGATGCGGTCGGTGGAGCAAAAAATGGCAGGGCAAACAGATATTGAAGCCAATCATATACACTGAAGTCATGTGTGGAAACCATGACTGCGGTTACAAATTTGTCGAACCGGCTGCAGAGTAGGACAAATGAGGTGCAGCATTTGAACGGCCAACTGGCTCTGCTCCAACGCATGTATAAGGATGGCGCGAGCAGAGATAAGTGTGTTGAAAGCAGAAAATAGGGAGCTGAAGCGGAAGGCCACCGTGATGTTCCGTTTTGGAGGTCCGCCATAATGCTGCAGTGGAGGAGCAGGGAGTAGTGATCATGCCATGTGGAGTGGGAATACGGAGGCAACACCGGCAAGGGCCGCCCAGGACGGAGGCAAGAAGAAAAGACCGGCGGCAGAGTAGAGAAGAAAATCCTGCCTGTGGAAGTGGGTGATTTGTTTGCTGTTTTTTTTTTTTTTTTTTTTTTTTTTTTTTTGTGTTGTTGTTTTTGTTGGTGTAAAAGTGTGATCGGGTTTGAGCCCCTGATATGAATAAAATGACAAGGTGGTGGAAGTGTTGGTGTGATTTTGTGATGTTTGTTTGTGTAATAAGATAAATAAAATAAAATAAAACAATGGATAAAGAAAATAGAGGAAAATAGTTGTGGATGGGGGATAAGAAAAAACAAGGTGTATGTTTTTTTTTTTTATTTTTTATTTTTATAATAAATAATATATATATATATATATTAAAAGAAAAGAATGGTGAAATCGGTGGGTGGAAGAAAGTAAGGGAAAGGAGGGATATGATTAAAGGGGTTTAAAAAAAGTGGGAAAATGTGATGATAGTGGTGAGTGGAGCATAATGGAGAATAGAAAAGGTGTATATAATAATAAGAAGAAAAGGGAAATGGGTTGGCCGAGGTGAGGATTGTGTTGTAATAAATAAACCATGGTGGGTGGATTAAAAAACAAACAATAGTGGCATCATAAAGTGCATATGGGATGGTGACAGTGGCGTGCTGTGTTGCCTCCTTTTTCAGTGGGTGTGTGCTAGCTTTTTTTTTTTTTTTTTTTAACTTTCTTTTGCAAAAAAAAGGGAAGAGTGACTCAGTGGCGGCAGAAGAAAAAGAAAAAGAAAAAGAGGATGGGGTGAGATTATATAAGAAGTTGGGTCCATGGAGAGAGACAAGTCTCTTTCTCTCTCTCTCACAGCTGCAGATCTAGCTTCCATGGCGTTCGCCTGGTTCTTCTGAATGGTGTGTGTCTCAGATCGAGAGATAGCGACCCGCATGAGAGAGGATCGCTCCGATATGTCCGAGGACGATGACAGGCCGGATGGACATAGATGCACTTGAAGTGGAAGCTGTCTCTGCTGGATTGGGAGTTGGAGATTTGGTTGTCGGAATTATGGGAAGAGGCAGGCCATTAGACAGGAGAACGAAAGATCTGAGGCTGAAAAAAGAAAAGTAATGCATACCAAGCTGCATATGTTAAAGCAGACGAGGCATCTAAAGCACTGCGCACTGGAGCAAACTATCACTGTTAAAACAGAGGAAGATGAATATCCAGTAATTTGGTGACGATGATGAAGATCTACGCAAATATTAGAAAGAGCAAGAAAATTTGCACTTAAGAAGCAAGATGAGGCTCCACATTCGTCCTCAGGCTATTGCATCCCTTGCCTCTTCAACTGTCAGCAATTCAACTGCAGATGACCAAAAACCTGCATCTGGAGAGACACAAGAAAACAAGGTTGTCTTACAGAGATGGAAGAATTTGTCTGGGGACTTCAACTCGATGAAGAAGCCCATAAGCCAGGGAGAGAGTTCTGCCGTGTGTGTGTGTCCGAGAGAGAAGCAGCTTTTGAACATTGT